AAAATTGCGTATTATATCTACCGTTAAAATTATTCGTGTTCATATTGTTATGTATAGGAACGAAAATGGTGGTCATATTGAACACCTTTTATGAAAGATTAGCATTCTTGCGTGTAGTAAATAAAATTATATTCATACTTGTTTATGTTCGCTAACTACACTTGAATAATTAATAAGACGCTTGAGAACATCTTGATACATTTCATTTTTTTCTCGAAAGCTATCTGAGATGTCCTGTTTTTGTAGGAAAGATATAATTTGAATAGAGGTGCGGGTAGTTTTCACGCCTCTCGAACCCTATAGAGTTTTTCGTCAAAGTCAAATATCACAACGCCTAACAAAACATATGCGTTTCAAATTTCACTAAAACGGACTATCGGTTGAAAAATGTGTTAAAAAAAGTTTGGGGATCTCCAATGGTCAAACGAAGCACTTTTGAAGAGGCGAATTATGTGTCTGTTCTTGTTATAACCCAGGGTCATAGTTCTATGGATTTTATCGAGTGAAGGTACAAAGCAATCCAGTCAAAGGATATCTGAGTAGATTCAATGACCTAAGCGTAAGACGTCTTTTTTGATAAGCTCCCGCTCGCAACGTCTCTGTTAACTGAACGACCAAACGCGCGTTGGCATGTCAACAAAAAATTAATTATATCGAAAACTCAGTCCGCCAACGAAACTGGGGCTTTTATTTTAATTAATTTTAATAAAATCCATTGGCGAGGATTGTGTATAAAAGCAGAACAATACAGTGGGTGGAAAGCGTAGGGGAGAGGGGAAAGGGAGCTGTATGCTGTTTTTCCGCAGGCTATATTGCGCTTTATGTAACAGAAGAGTTATTTATCGATAGCGTTTTGTTTTTCTGTGGTGAATCACGACCGAGTACGCGTCAGAATAATGTACGTATATGGTTTGCAGATTTGTGCAGTTTGGTACAGGGTATTGAATGTGGTATTTTCCTAAGTTTTCATTTTGGCGGAATATGTTTCTAAATAGCATATTCTGAGTGTTTTCATATTACTACGAACCCCTTCCCACTTCAGTTTGCCCAACTATTGAAATCATAGTTTTTTCTTATCAAACACAAATAATAAAAATGTAGCAGGGTCTTATAGGTTTAAAATATTAACAAAGAATATTTTGATAATATATAGTGGAAAACACCAACTTTATCACTCCCTAATCAAATATGCAGCATAAAAATAACACATGCTGCAATTACAGCATATTAACCTATTTTAATTTCAATGCAAAATAAGTCTATAATGCATAGGTGGCTGTGAAAAATAAAAGCCATGACTATTGTTTTTATTAATCACAGCTGTCAGAATACGTTTAAAATAGTTTGGGGTAGTTAAGGTTTTCAAAATGGGTAGAGGAAAGGTTATTAGTGAGAAAATTCGGTTACTGATAATTAAATTTTTTAATTCTGGGAAATCAAACTCAGAAATTGCAACTCTGTGAAAAACAGGCGTGCCAGTTGTTTACAATTAAGTGCTCTGTGAAGTGACGCTGTTGGAGGGAGAATTTCGAGGTCCACCATTCATAGAGAGGCCCACATACTGGGATTTAGCACTTGCAAGGTATGTTTTCTTATAAAAAAAAAGTGAAGGAAAAACCCTAAAGTTGCACAACTTGTTTATAGGCCAAATAAAAGCCACTATTAACTCCACTGCAGAAGAAAAATCGGCTTAGATGGGCTAAAGAACATAGACAATGGACACCTCAACAATAGTGTGCAATACAATGGAGTGATGAGGCCCGATTCGAAGTTTGTGTTGGTGACAGTCGCAGTAGAGTTATTCGCAAAAAAATGAAGCATTCCATGTTGACTGACTGAAGAGAAAAGTGAAATTTCCAGCATCCATTATGGTCTGGGGCAGTATGTCATCAAAAGGAGTAGGAAAACTTCATTTTATTGATGGAAATAAAAAAGGCTATAAAATGGATGGAAGAAAATAATGTACCACTTTTGAAATGGGTTTCTAGCAGTCCAGATCTGTCACCTATTGAAACTTTGTGACACGAGATGAAAAAGGTTTACGACAACATCCTGCTCATACAATCACCGAAATGAGACAAAAGCTTCAATAAATATGGGAATGTTTTACACCAAATTTTTGCCAAAACTTGGTTAACACTATTCCCCAAAGAATTTCAGCCATAATAAAAAATAAAGGTGATGTTACCCAATGGTAATCTTTCAATTGTTGATTTGTTAACTTCGCGCATTTATTCGCACATTGTTTATTTGTTCAGATGTTCTATTAGGTATAGGTCTAAGTGATTTCAGATATGTATTTTTTACGACTAGCGTGTATCTAAAATGTTTTTGAGAAAATAAATTGTTTTAGAAGTAAATAGTTTCGTCATGCTTAGTTTATAAAGGCATATTTTGGTACAAATCTTGAAGTGGGCCAACTGAAGTGAGAAGGGGCTCGTACTACTACTACTAGCAATCGCGAGGCTTAGTTTTTCGATACCATTATCAATTAACAAATTATCGTGGGGTCTAGGAACTTTTCAGATATACTACTGCTTTCCCTGTCGTGACTGGCTGAACATTCGACAACCCACTATACATGGTCCAGGAAGTATCTTCGAATACGCTCGCAAAAATATTGCGATTCGAGTTTTGTATATAATCTTATTCAAATTGTTAGAGCAATATTTCAGAACACATTTCAAAAATCGTTTATACATCATGTTAAACAAAAAAAGCTTCGTATGACTATGAAGTGTTCTTTGAAGTTGACTGATCTTGAGATATAGGCGATTTAAAAATAAGCTGTGTTCATAAAAGAGACGCATATCCTCGGAAGCATAAGGTGAAAGTATAAGGTCTTGCTTCGGAGAAAAAGGTAGAAGTATGAGCATATCCTTGCTTTCAGATTCATAATGATTACCTTATACTCGCGAGGATATCCTTCAAGAAGAAGTAAAATGTTGACTGAATATTTGTATCTTGAGGGACATGTCCTGACTTGTTCCAGCTTGTAGTTGACGTGGGAGTTCGTTCACTCAGCATCACTGACAGTTGTACTCCAGAGCTCACACAGACCGTTCCGTATTTTTACTGGATACAGTTTTTTATCAAATTAATAAGCATGTCATCCTCAAGTGATGAGGAAACTATAGAAAATAATGGCAACGACCTGCAGTTCATCGCAGATGAAATTGCGATTGCTCCCATTATGTTGCAAAAGTCACAAGTTCCAAAAATAAAAATGAGAAACGACGATGCCTTGACGAAGATGTTGCAAAAATACGAATCAACAAACCATAAGGCTTATTAAAAAAAAATCGACAACATGAAATCGAGATTGAAGAAAAAAACAGATCTAAAAAAAACTGGTAATAAAGCAATTAAATTGTTATATTGGGAAAGAAAGTTGCTGAAAGCTATGGAAGGTGACTGTAATCCAACAATTGAGAAAATTAGAGGTGCCGTCCAGGTTGGTAGTGTTCAAGAAGAAGGAAGTGAACTATACAGGGTGACATCGAAGTTGAGTCATTTATTTTAACAGTGAGTAGATCTGATCAAAAGAAATGTTTTTTTCCTTTACCATTTTTCTGGTAAAATTAAAGTAACAAAGTTATAGCCCTTTGGAAGTTTGAGTACCGCCCTGTCTCAATAATAATATCATGTGCTTGTGTTTGGCAACAACGGATATAATCCACCTTATCGGTTCATCGCATCGGAAACAAAAAAGCGAAAGAATTTGGAACGAGTTTTTTACAGTTATTTCATTCAGTTCAGTTAAACATACAGTCAGTGTCAGCCGCGTGTGAATAGTGTCTGTTGCGTGGCTCAAACGAAATAAAAAATGGCACATGTTTATGCGGATCGGTTTCCCAATCGAGTGCAACCAACCCCTCGTGCCTTTGTTAATGTAGTACAACGGGCTCGTGAATCAGGTGACTTAAGACCTCACAGGGGACCTCACGATCAAATACAGGTCCGCACTGAAATACTTGTCGGGAGGATACTTTATAAAACAAGGTAAAATTTTTTTTTTTATTTTTACACACATATTTTGGTTTATCTCCCTTCTACAATCATTATCTGAAAATTAATGACTCAACTTCAAAGTCACCCTGTATACCGAGCGCAGTGAGCAGACAGTTAGTATTACAGAGCCAGTAGTTCAGAAGAAATTGCCACGAACAGGAAAATTAGCAACAGAGAAATACGAAACTGAGGAAACCAAATGGTTAACTACAAAAGAATTGCAACGTTTAGTGCTATTACAGTGGTACCAAACAAATATTTTTCAACAAGACTATTATAAAACCAAATTAGAAATAATGCAGCGTCAGAAGCCACCTGTAACTTATGATGTCCAGAAAAATAAAACTTATCATAATTTATAAATTCACTTTAACCAGTAAAACTATTTATTATAATACTCAAGTTTCTTCTCATTTGTTGACCTAGTTGGCGGAGAGGAACTTCGTCATTCTCATGATTTCCTGTATCTTCATCTGTTTCTTGTTCAACTAACTCAAAGTCAGGATCGCCCAAGCTCTTCGCGACATTATGGAGAGCAATATAAGCAATAATTGTTTTTGGCACATTTTCCAACTTTACGCGGCAGACACTGTAGGATAGGAAACCAGTGTTTCAGTTGGTCCACACAGCGTTCAATTATAACTCTTTCTTGTTTTAAAAGCTTATTATAATTTATTTCTGCACCTGGAGTAGGATTTATGAAGGGCGTCATAAGGCATGTCTCAATACCATAACCGTCATCGCCAAGTAGTACAACATTTGCTTTATTTATTAGTTGTGATCTAGTCTGTGAATTTCTCCATATTCTGGAATCATGCACTGATCCAAACCAACTGACATCAACACCTGTGGACTCTCTCTGGCATCACAAGTGGCTTGCACATTTAAAGTAGGTTTCCCCTTTTCGGTTGATATACTCGTCTCCATAGCGATTTGGCTTCAGGATTCCGATATGTGTACAATCAATTACACCAATTGCTGTCGGAGTTTTATACATGCTTTGCCATATCCGCTTGGCCTCGCATCAGTTCACGGTTGGTAGTTGAAAACCTGAGCCATTCGTTCGACTGTGCAACTATGCTGTTCACAACTCTATCCACAGTCCGAGATAGCGTTGCTTGACTAACACCAAGTTCCTGACCAATACCTTGTTGATATCCAGGGTCACCGAGATAGCGTAGACATATCCTCATTTTATGAATACATGAAATTGCTCCTCCTCGAGTTTCCTTATTCTCAACTAAAAATCTGTTCCCAAGTCATTGTACATTTGCTTCGTCGAACCGATATAATTTTTTGAAGTGACGACCAAGTGAAGGTAAACGAGGTTTGTACGTTTTAACATCCCTAACATCCACAATTTCCGCCATCATCGTTTGACCACCTTTCGTTACGAAGTTGAATCTGCTACTGACCACACTCAGAATTTTTGAAGGATATGCTTCCTATGCCAAGTATAAGGTAATTATTATGAATATCCTTTTACTTATGTCACTGCTTTGAAGGATATGCTTATACTCAAAAAGCAAAAGCATTTACTTCAAATTATTATAAATACCATCTGGAGGATTTCCTTCAAAATTTGCAAGTACAAGGATATCCTTTGTTTTATGAATATGACTCAATATATGGAAAGGTGTGCGATACATACCATTTCTACCTCGAAAAACAATAAGAAGAAATGAAAATACTGAGGGTTTTAGGTGATTTTTTTACTTAACCTTTAAATTTTTAATGGTAAATTAAGCGGGCGATCAGTAAATACTCTGCGCAGAATATACATTAAGCGCATGCTTGATGAGCAATTAAAAAACAAAGGTTTACAATAGCAATATACCCTAAAATACTTTGGAGTTTTGTTAATGGATTTTTGATATAAATAATATGTCGAAAACTATTAAATTTAGAGAATGGTTCAGAAAATTCTGAAAGAAAAGTAAAGTCAGATTATCTGGTGTTTTTTAAATTATCGAGACATTGGGGTAAACTTGTTTTTGACTTTGACGGTCAAATGCAAGGTCAAGTTCCAAAAATGGTCAAGGACATATTCGACCATAAAGTTTAAAATTAAAGGAAAACTTCACCTTTAAATGACTTCAAAGGCCAAGGTCACCATTGGAATTGGATACCCGGGAAAAAAATCATCAAAATAATGTCTCGATAGTTGCCCTATACGATTAATGGTTTTCAAGTTATATAACCATACCTGGGTTAAACCTTGACCATAACTTTTTGAGGTCAAAATTTAATGATGATCAAGACCATATTTGAACGCAAAATTTTCAGCTCTCTTCATTTACGGGGTCAAAAATGAGGGGCTCCTATTTGAAAAAATCGACTAGACCTTGAAATGACCTTGAGGATCGATATCAAGGTGAAATTCAAGGTCACCATTGGATAGCTGGGGGCAACTTCTATCAATCGTCGGTCTTAGTTTTTCCTACCCTCATTTTCGTCAAAATGACGCTGATTGTAGCATTTTACATAACGTCACTTACTTTTGTTATATTACCAGTAAGGAATTTTCCTCTATACATATACAGGGTGACTTCGAAGTTGAGTCATTTATTTTAACAGTGAGTAGATCTGATCAAAAGAAATGTTTTCTTCCTTTACCATTTTTCTGGTAAAATTAAAGTAACAAAGTTATAGCCCTTTGGAAGTTTGAGTACCGCCCTGTCTCAATAATAATATCATGTACTCGTGTTTGGCAACAACGGATATAATCCGCCTTACCGGTTCATCGCATCGGAAACAAAAAAGCGAATGAATTTGGGACGATGTTTTTGCAATTAAGTATTGTCGGTTAGCGTGTGAATAGTGTCTGTTGCGTGGCTCAAACGAAATAAAAAATGGCACATGTTTATGCGGATCGGTATCCCAATCGAGTGCAACCAACCCCTTGTGCCTTTGTTAATGTAGTACAACGGGCTCGTGAATCAGGTGACTTAAGACCTCACATTGGACCTCACGATCAAATACAGGTCCGCACTGAAATACTTGTCGGGAGGATACTTTATAAAACAAGGTACAATTTTTTTTTTAATTTTTTTTTTATTTTTACACACATATTCTGGTTTATCTTCCTTCTACAATCATTATCTGAAAATTAATGACTCAACTTCAAAGTCACCCTGTATAATATGTAGTCCGATACCAGCGATCCATCCGTTATTGCATAGGGCTATTTCATAGAAGCTTGTATTTTATATTTCGAGAGATGGAAAAAAATCGCTGGTGGGATTTGAACCTCTATCTCCTTCATTCCGTGGAGACGACCTGGACAATTGATCTACAGGACCAGCTGTCAACAAGCTTTTAGGATCGACTGTTAGAGTCAAATCCAATCCTACCCACGTCATCTGTCCTGTGTTCTCTCAAGATGTCTTGGTGCCCCATCTGGTGGTGTTGTAGTCAAAAAACCGGATTGGTAAGGTATCTCCAATCACTTTCTAGTTACATCACGCCGTCTCGTGGGCTCACATCACGGTACAGTCGTGCGCGGGCAGCAACCTGTAAGCGATTTCTCTGACGAGCGCATCGATAACTACTTGATACGTAGGAAAATAGGAGCTGGCGGAATTTGAACCCGCATTTCCTCCTTGTGTGGAGACGACATGACCAACTAGTTGACAGCTCCAGCTTCCAAGTTGTTTACAAAATATACTAAATGACATATAAATCCGAACACCCAGCTTAAATAGTTTTATTTTAATAAAAGTTGGTGAATGTATTTATCTTACTGTAAATAACAAGTGAAAAAATGTTCAGCCTTATCAGTTGGACATTCCGGTTTTTATACTGCTTTTTTTTAATTCACTAACGTTCTAAAAATGAATATTTCAGCCGCAGTAAAGAATCAATGTTGGCGGATTTTGGTTCTTGACATCCTTTACGATCGGTTACGATGCCTAGAGTACGGAGACCTATACGATTTCGTCAACTTAGTGAGTTTGATAGGGGCCGTATAGTGGTACTTCGGGAAGCTGGACTTTCTTTTCGGGCAATTGCAGTTAGAGTGGCAAGAAGTGTAGACACTGTGGTTAGGTGTTGTCAGGCATGGCTTCGAGAAGGCCGTACGCAAAGAGCAAGGGGCACTGGACGCCGCCGTAGAACAACAGACCGTGAAGATCGCCGCCTAAGATTATTGGCCGTAAGGGACCGTTTCTCCATCTACCAGGTCCATTGCAAATGAATGGTTTGCAGAACACGGAAGACCTATTGGCATGCGAAGTGTTTACCGACGAATGAGAAGTTTTGGCTTGTTTTCATACCGGCCACACTGGGTCCTCCCTTTAACTCGAGAACACCGACGTAATCGCCTTGAGTGGTGCAGACAACGGTCACTCTGGGATCAGGAATGGAACAGTATTGTCTTTAGTAACGAGTCTCGATTTTGTTTAGGCATGCACGATGGTCGTGCCAGGATTAGAAGGCGACGTGGTGAAAGGAGGAATCCACAGTTTTTTGTTGAAAGACATGTTCATCACACTGTTGGAGTTATGGTTTGGGGTGTTATAGCTTATGGTTCCAGGTCACCTTTAATCTTCAGCAGAGGTAACATGAACGCGCAGCGTTATATCCACGAAGTTCTAGAACCCCATCTTTTACCCTATCTTAACACCCTGGCAGATCCAACTTTCCAACAAGATAATGCCCGACCACATGTTGCAAGAGTCACAATAGACTTCTTTCAACATAATGATGTCACATTGTTACCATGGCCACCAAGATCTCCCGACTTCCCAATTGAGCACGTGTGGGATATGATGGATAGGAGATTGCTCAATTTGCAACGTCCTCCTCAGACTCTAGAAGCACTTCGAGAGGAGTTGGTGGTTGCCTGGAATGAGATACCACAGGAGGACATTGACCACCTGATCAGAAACATGCCTAGGCGCGTTGGAGAATGCGTAGCACATCAGGGTGCATCCACACATTATTAAAGGTCAAAGGGCTTTAAAGCAGTGCAATCATTTTGAAATTTTTATCATTTACTTATTATGCTTCATTAAGTACTTATACCAAATTTTATTAAAATAAAACCATTTAAACTGGGTGTTCGGATTTATATGTCACTTAGTATATATTCACTATTGCGAATGCGTTCATCCGAAAAATTGTATACAATTTCTCTTTTGTTTAGTGGGTAGCTAGCCTATTTTCACAACTTTAGCAGCTAGTCAATTTCAGAACCAAATGGTTCGGCAACGAAGTTCACTTGTGGAAAAATACCCCTCAGACGCCACCAAGTGGTAAGCGTATTGGCGTTGCCGTATACAACGTCGAAGTAAATGAATTTATTGTGGACGAAATTGAAGGTGTCACATTGTGGACTTTTAGTGCCGGCGAAATGGAGATAAAACGAGATAAAAGGGCATTAGGGGTAGGCGGAGGGCGGAAGGGCCCTAAAAGTGGCGCGTTCGTTTTACCAACGGCAGGTCCGCCCTTCCTATTAGGACTAACTACCGAAGGGCGCGCAAGGGTGTTTGATGCCTATACAGGGTGTTTTGTAGTTAAGTTAACATAGTAAAATGGTAGGTAGTATGGACCGAGAGCTTTTACATCTGAAAATAAAAATCGAAATTTATTTTTTGGCGATATATACTGGGTGACAAAAAAAGGTAAGCACCTACGCATGTTTATTAGAAGTCAAGAATTCTTTACATATCGATTTATCTTGTTATGGAGAACAACTATCGATAAGAGAAGTTTCTAGGGGGACCAATAGATTCTTACGAGCGTGGACTTAGGATGCCGAGGGCAGCGAGCAAGCGGTTCTGGACGTCCCAGAGGAACTACAGAGCGACAAGACCGCCGGTGAAGACTTCTGGCTCTGAGAGACAGATTCAGTAGTACTCGAGCCATCGCTAATCAGTGGTTTGAAGAGCATGGAAGGATGGTTGGTATGCGTACGGTATATCGCCGAATACGACAGTTTGGCTTTTTCTTATCGGCCACATTGGGTGCTACCCCTCACAGCTGAACATAGGCGTAACCATTTGCTCTGGTGATGCACGTGACCCACAATTTGACAGAGAGAGTCACGTTCACCACACCTTCGGAGTTATGGTATGGGGTGCTATTGCTTATGGTAGCAGATCACCACTAATTCTCATCAGAGACAATATGACAGCCCGAAGTTATATTCAGGAAGTAGTGGAGCCTCATCCTATTCCATACCTAAACACCA